AATGCGACTTAATTTCTCATTCACCTTGGCACTCACGAACACAATCAAGCTCAACATGATAAGTCCAACCCAATTACAAATCCTAGTCCCAATTGCAACCGTGATGGGTGGCATTTGTGATGCCTATATCGACGAACGAGCACACGTCCCGGCTGGAAGAGGTGAAGTCTGCTCTGCGAAAGAAGAAGAAGAAGATACGTCGAAGAACGTTCCGAAAGAACTGAGTGAAAGGAGGGAGATTTGGGGTGTACGCTTCATCTGTCCAGGGTCTGCGCTTTCATCAACGAGGCTGTTGTGGTTGCATGAGCTGCTGAAAGGCAGTGCAAAATCATAAAGTGGATAAGCAATTGGATGCTTCTTCTTCGAATACGGCCATTTCCTATTTTGACAGACTTTGAATAGTCATCATCACTGACATTTTGTGTGTGAGTGTGCATGAAGACGAAAAGACATTCAAAGGTTAGTTCCTTCAGAAGACAACGACGGATTCCTCTTGGCCAACTGTCGGTCGGTTGAAGCCGCTCTGTTCATGTGTTTCACATGAAAAGCAAAAGCGTAGCACAATCGAGATGTGTTCACTCTGATTCGCTGAAAGTGATCAACGACTGGTAGTTGCATCTTCCCACAATCACTTGACTAGCTAGACCTTACGTTTCCATTTAATTGCACACAGGCTTGTTTCCTAAAAGGTGTTCTCATCTCGGTTGAAAGGGACTACCACTTCGATCTCGCCTCGCCCAAGTCCCCTCAGCGCCCCCAGCGGGACTCGAACCCAGAGTGTTGTAGTTCAGCAAATAATCTTGACAACACCAGACTGCCACGAACAGCTTCTGGAAAGCAAAACCGTGTTGACTCCAATGGAAGCATTAGGTCTGAGCATCTGATCGTGGGAGAATTCAACTATCAATCCTCCAATCAGCTTACACGAAAAGGGGGCAACACATTTCAAAAGTGTGATTTGCTGGTAATATCAAAAACCCACTTATTAACTGAAAGCTAATCACCTTTTGCTTGGAGACATCGTCATCCAGAATATTCCAGCAAATCGGCCAACCTACAGCTGTCTGAGAGGAATAACAGTTGTCTTTTGCTGTGGTTGGCTCTCTGCCCACTTCATCACACACACACAAACACACACACGCATTTTCACTCGAAGCGGAAGTCACCTCAACAATGTAAATGTTCACGCTCCGCCCATGACCGAGTAGCCAGCAGATTCGGCTTGTTGACTACGACGAGTGAGCGTCTAAGCCTGTTTCGAATGTACTTCAATCGGGGCAAGTTGAGCTGGAATACTTGCGATGGCCGGACTGAGAACTGTATCATTTGCAGGCGAGCAGAACTGCCGTGATTGCCGGACGCCGGTTAGAGCCGTTCTGCACCAGACAGCGGCCGGACAATCAACGACGTACAGGTCAAGTGCAACCGAGGGGGAGGGGGTGCAGCCAGAGCCAATCAGAATTGCTGCTGTACCGGAAGGAACCGCCACATGTGGAGGGAGGAGAGTGGGCGCAGTGCAGCAGATGCCAACTCTTGCATGCCTCTGTCGACAGGAGCCATATTCAGAGAGAGAGAGAGAGAGAGTACGTTTTAAGGCTATCGGAAAATGTTGAATAAGAGATCCAGTCATCCGAGGTCGCGGAAACCAATGAAGGAATTATAGTCGACTTTTGTGCCAGCATACAAGCAGGTTGAATGTGTCCGGTGCATTTCACATTGTCCTCTTTCCAAAAAAGCTATGCTTATTCCAGAGGAACTGGGCGGCATCAGGTCTCCTATTCAAGATCATCTGATAGGCTCTAAGCCCACTTTCGACGAGTAAAAGAACGCAGTTGAGTGTAATGACAAAATTCAAGTTCATGATACGTATTCATCCTCTTTCGTCTGAGGTGATGACGGACGGGAAGCTGAAGTTTCGCATAATCGGATGAGTAGAACTCATTAAAGTGGGTTGACCTCGTTGTCGCAACTTGGTATTGTTGTCATAGAGACTATGTAGAACGCACCTGGTCCGAAGTCGTCTGCCATAGTAGTTGTCCTGATTCCCAGCATCAGACAGTGGATTTGGTACATTCCCAAACGTCTCGCCGGCAGCGTAGTCGGCATCATCAGCGAGTGAGCTGCAAACTCGTCAAAGAGTCGCTTGTTGCAGAGAATGGCAGCACTGACGGATGATGCCGGCGAAACTTTTGAGAATGTACCAAGTCGACTGTCTGATGCTGGGAATCAAGACAGCTACTATGGCAGACGACTTCTGACTATGTGTGTTCTACTAAATCGCCCTGAAACAAGACCAAGTTGCGACAACGAGGTCAACCCACTTGTATAAATCGAAAGGAGACTGCGACCATACCAGAGGTCACAACATCTTGGTCTTCATAGCTTCCAGTAGAACTGATGTTTGCTGTCAACTCCAGTTGGCCCTGCCACACAAAAGGTATTCTCATCTAGTCCCGAGTGGAGTACAGTTGTAATCTGGCCCAGATTCGTCTCATCAGCACCCCCAACAGGACCTGAATCCGGTTTTTGGTGGTGCAGCGAATGGTCTCGACTGCCACGAGTGCCCTTGGGTCCAGGGCAGATGTGAATTTCGAATAAGGACAGGCCCTTTTCATATCCCACATTTATTTAATGATAGGGCTAGTCTGAACGACTACTCATAAATGGAAATAAGTAATGTAGTCGATTTCTAGTGCAAATACAGATTTTCCCCATGACCATCACACAAGAGAAATTTGAATTGTGAAATGCCTGGCCCTGCTTCAAGTTCACATCTGACCTGAATCCTATGGACACTCGTGGTAGTCGGGCGGCGTGGTTCTCGTGTTGAGAGTGTACGATGATCTACCACAAACCGAGTTCGAATCCCGCTGAGAGGGTGGATGAGACCAGTTGAGGCGAGATCGAGGCCGCAGTACAGTCCGATTAAGACTGGATGAGAATGCCATTTGAGGGACAGGAAAAATGGTAAACTTCAACGGAAACATGGGAAAATGCCATCGTCAGTCCTTCTCTAGCTTATGTGAGCTGAGCTGACGGGGACGCGTATTCATCACGAGCCATGTCGGGCAGTTTTGGCATTTTTGAAGGAGGAACAAGAGATGGCGGATGGTGATTGTCCTCTTTCAGATGGTGCACGTGAAGCGAGCAGATGCAGTCTCTTCGACGAGGACAAAAAGGAAATGGAAAAAGTGGAAATATGGCCTATTTTGAACGGCGTGAGAACTGGGGCAGATGGGCACTTTGCTTTATCCTCAACTGGTTCCAAAATGGGATCTTGACTTTTGCACAAAGTCAGTATCCTTTCGACTCAAATGTACACTTGCCCGTCTGCACAATGTTGCCAAAGCCTCGTCGCGAATGGCATTACGCAGTCTCGCCTCCAGACTGAGGTGGCAATAATCTGCTGGTGGGATCAAACGGATGAGGGGGTAGGGGCTAAGAAGAGTGTTAACCAACCGCGTTGCCAATGGTGGATATGCCAAGGATGGGATTATTTGTCAACTCATCCAGATGATGATGCATCGATTCCAAAATGAAAAGAGGTTTACGATCATTGCCAAGCTTTTGACGTCGTAACTTGCTCCTTTTCTGCAAGCAAGACAGTAGCAATAAGACTTAAGAAACGCTCTCTTTTTGTCCCAGCATGCATGCACTCACCTA